CTAACCTTTGATATGTGTTATATTTTTGAGTCATTCATCAACTAAATTTTTTATTATTTTTAGAGGTGAGACACAAAACTTAGCATCAACATTAGTAAAAAATTTGGATCAGGACCCCACTAGCAGAAGCATCATAGGTCAAAAATGTGACTGTCGTGTTCATAAGGGTGGTTCTGAGTGTCATTTATTTTGAAAACATAAGGAGGAATTTTTCCACCCTTGTTCTTTCTTCAAAATACTTCTAATGGTGCTGTAATTCTTGGTTCCATGGTAGATCTGATGTAAATGAATTTCATGTTATTATTTTTGTATAGGAATAGTTCTATATATTGCTTAACAAATGGGACATTATAAAACTAATTGTGATGATAATAACTAAATTTTGATCCCTGAAATTTTTGGTAATACCAATGTTCAGTTTGTCTGGTTTTGTTACAGCATGCCCCACATCATAAAACTAATCTCATAAATAAAAGATTCATAATCACATACAATTTTAAATTTTTACAAATATTAATTCTAACCAATAAATCAAATATTTTTCCCTTATAAAAAAGTAGGTCATTCTTTGAATTGAGATAATGGATTCCTTTTATTTAATGGGATACCACCAATAAGAGGAGACCTAAAATCTAAAAATATTTTGTTAGACACAAACCTCTTGGTAAAATTTTTTTAATAATAATAATAAAGATAATAAATTAGCAGTAATGCATTTAAGGTTGCTTGCCGAAACCTCTAATGAACAATTAGTATATACCTTGTCAAAACTCTGATGATTGACAAAATCCCCAAATGCGAAACTCTGCCGAAACTCTAATAAACAATTAATGTGTAACCCGTCAAAACTCTGTTGGAAGAGTTTCACCCACAACCTTAAATGCATTATAAAAAAATCTTTAAATCAGTAAAAAAGTGCCATTCCCCACTTCACTAAAGAAAAAATAGAAATGTGCTTAAAAACTGTATATATATTGATCCAAATAATAGTGACCTTATCTATTGTGTGGTGAAGAAGATCACATCTTTAACCAGATGTCCCTTAAAATCATCTGATTTTAATGATAATAATAAGCATATAGTGATATAGTGTAGGACATCTATAATGGCCAATGATTATCACACAACTTTAAAAGCTTATAAGGATTTTTGGATTTTTGATGTGTAACGACGCCCTATGTTTAAGATAATTAATTTCTACATGCAAAAGCGGTTACGCTTAAACAAAACCACTATCGGTAAGCAAAAAATTCTACCAAATGCAGTTATGAAAAACATCCTCTGCAACACAAACAAGATCTAGGTTAGAAGAAAAAATGCGGAAATCTGACAAAAAATTTATGAAAGCAAAGGATCACCTCGTACATAGTAATAATAATTATTTTTATTCGTTTTTAAGAAGACATTCAGAATTTTAACTGCGATTCAAAAGAATGATCTTGAAGGATAATTACCAGAGAAGGTTTCAATTCCTCAGGCTAACGCTCCTATAAATAGTCGTGTTACACGTCATGAAATCTTTGGAAAAAAAAAAATACAAATTTAAAATTTCATTTTGTTGTTGGATATTAATGGATAAAAATAGCAATATAATAAAGTACAATTTTTACTATTTATTTGGACACTACTTATTTTCAATCTTTTTTTAAAGAACTAATTCTATAAAAAGAAAAAATAATTTTATCAAGTTCTTTTATTTAATAAATTTATCACATCACACAGTTCAATTTTTAAATAACGATAATGTCACAATATCCAACTGGAGGATATCCACCACAGCAAGGATACCCACCATCGCCGCCACAGAACCCGCAACAGCATGGTGGATACATGCAAGGGCTCCAAGAAACATCACAGCCTCAAGTTTATCCTCCAAATATTCAACCCTCAAATTACCCTCCTAATATACAACATCCAAATATACAACCTCCAAATATACAAAACCCAACTTATCCTGACCCTGCTACACAACCTTTATTGGTTCAACGAAAGGAGTTTACCGATATTGAGATAGAACCTTCGGATGAAGAAAAGGCTCCACTCCATTACGGTACCGCTCCTGCAAGGCAACCACGTCGTTTTAAAACTACTAAAAAAGTTAATTTATTTCGAGGAAAGGTGGTTCTTGATTGTCCAGTTCCAACAAAACTTTTGTCTGAGGTTCAAAGAAAAAATGATGGAGAATTTACATTAATGAGATATACTCCTTGTACTTGCGATCCCAATGATTTTCAATCCGACGGTTATACACTTCGCCAACAACTTTATGATCCACCAAGGCAAACAGAGTTATTTATCGTACTCACTATGTATAATGTATGTAATGGAACTAAAGTTGATATGCATATGTACTATGTCACTAATGTTTTTTTCTTTTTAATTAATTATTTATTTTTAATAGGAAGATGAAGTACTTTTTGCTCGTACATTTCAAGGTGTTGAAAAAAATATTAATCATTTATGTAGTCGTGCACGTTCTCGTACGTGGGGAAAAGATGGATGGAAAAAAGTTGTTGTTTGTGTTGTGTCAGATGGTCGTACCAAGATAAACAAACGAACTTTATCTTATTTGGCAGCGTTAGGTGTTTATCAGGAAGGAGTAGCTAAAACTGAAATTAATGGTAAACCAGTATCTGCTCATCTTTATGAGTACACTACACAGGTTTCCATTGGTGCTGATATGAAATTTAAGAAGAGGGATGAGAACTCAGTTCCTATTCAAGTTCTTTTTTGCTTGAAGGAAAAGAACGCAAAAAAAATCAACTCTCATCGTTGGTTTTTCAATGCATTTGGTAAAATATTAGATCCGCAAGTATGTGTTTTAATTGATGTTGGCACAAAACCTAGTGGCACATCAATTTATCATTTATGGAAAGCTTTTGACATCAATCCTAATCTTGGTGGTGCATGCGGTGAAATTAAAGCCATGACAGGTAGTGGAGGAGTGAATTTATTAAATCCATTGATTGCATCACAAAATTTTGAATATAAAATGTCAAACATTTTGGATAAACCACTCGAGTCTGTATTTGGGTATATTACTGTATTACCTGGTGCATTTTCAGCATATCGTTACCGTGCTCTTCAAAATAACAAAGATGGTGTAGGTCCTTTGAAATCATATTTTTTGGGCGAGACTCTGCATGGAGGTGATGCGGATGTCTTTACAGCCAATATGTATCTCGCTGAAGATCGTATTTTGTGTTTTGAATTAGTTGCGAAAAGAGATGATGCCTGGTTATTACAATATGTAAAATCATCTAGTGCTGAAACTGATGTACCTGATACAGTAGCTGAATTGATCTCTCAAAGACGTCGTTGGTTGAACGGTTCTTTTTTTGCTGGTGTATATGCTACATATCATACCTTTGCAATATGGAGAAGTGGTCACTCTAAATTTAGAAAAATATTGTTACACGTTGAAATGTTTTATCAAGCATATAATTTGATTTTCTCTTGGTTTGGATTGGTAAATAAATCATAATTATATATTTATTTTTGATTATTATTATTACTAACTATTATTATTTTTTTTTGTAGGGTAATTTTTATTTAACTTTCTACATTTTGGGTAATGCTCTTACGGATGAATCAGTTATTGTAGGTTTATGGAGTAAAACTGCCGGTGATGTTATATTTAATATATTACGATACGTATATATGACACTTCTTATAGTGCAATTTATATTGGCTATGGGTAATAGACCTCAAGGGTGAATATCGTATTAATGACAAATAATGTTTTCTTAATAGTAAATATTAGCGAAGTAATTAATTTTCTTGAAAAAAATTTTTTTTTTAAAAAAGGGCTAAATGGTCTTATATCGTATCAATAGTATTTTTTTCTGGACTTATGATTTATATGTTATTTGCAGCAGGATGGTTAACATATAAAGGAGTTTCAGCACAAATAGCAAGTTTAGGAGATGAAACAGGTGGTCAAGTAGGTGCTAATGTTTCAACAGCTGGCGCTATTTTTGGGAATTCGACATTTAGAAACATTATTCTTTCAGTTGTTTCTACTTATGGATTATATTTTACTGCCAGTTTCATGTTTTTTGAACCCTATCATATGTTTAATAGTTTAATCCAATATTTATTGTTGGTTCCATTCTATATCAATATTTTGAATGTATATGCCTTTTGTAATGTACATGACATCAGGTAAGATTCTTAATCGTCAGAATTTATAATTATAATTTTGATTTATATATACATTAATGTTAATATTTTATATAAGCTTATAATTGACAACTAACCTATCATCATTATCATTATTATTACTTAGTTGGGGAACTAAAGGCGATACTGCATCAGCAGCAAAACATAATGAATTAGGTAATGTAGCTACAGGTGATGGTAAGACAGCTGTAGTTCAGGTTCCAACTGAGGCAACGGACATAAATGAATTGTATCAAGAGGCAGTGGATGAATTACAAGGAAAAAGAGATAGTGATGAAGATATTGATGAAAATGTTGATGAAGACACTCTTTCACCCGAACAATTAGTAAAAAGACGAAAAAAGATACAAGAAAAAGAAAAAAAAAAAGCCGACAAAAAAAAAGAAGATCAAGAAGATTATTATAAAGGTTTCCGCACACGTGTTGTATTGATTTGGATCATTACTAATGGTGCATTGGTTGCAGTTATTACAAATACTAGCGTTTCTTTGGCTGAAATCGTTGATCCAACAAGCAGAGCAAACGTCTATATGGGAGTTGTGCTTTGGTCAGTTGCTGGTTTGGCAGCTTTTAGATTCATGGGAAGTTGCATATATCTACTCTTTAGATTATTCACCGGCTTTTAAAAACCTCTTCCATTTTTGTTTTTTTTTGTGTATTTATTATTTATTTATTTATTTAATAATGAATATTTTTTTCTTATTAATAATAACAAGTTTTATTTCTATATACTGTAAAAATAATCAATAAAAGATTTGATAAAGGTAGACGATTTAGTATTTACAATCTAATCTATTTAAAAATCTCAGTTTGGACATGACCAATTTCCTGTTGCTGCCTCACGATGTTTTTTATTTCCACATTGACGACAATCTTCTCGATAGGAATTTACAAACCCAATTACCTGGATGTTCATTAACATTACATATAAAATTAATTTAATAGAACTTTTCTTTTTCTCGGTTAGAGTCGCCAGGCTGCCGTAAATAAATCGATTAGATAGGATGTGAAAGAGCATACAAAACATCTATTCATATGTTAAATGTTGTATTAGAAAGTTTCACTGATGATAAAAAGTAAATTTACTTCCATATATTTCAGTTATTTATTTTATTAATCCCGAATAAAATATATCAATAAATTACGGGATTCCAATGGATAAGTGTATGAAATATATATATTTTTTAAATGTATAAATAATAACAATTGAGAATGAATGAAAAAAAAATTTTAATAAATAAATAATGATAATTTTTAAAAATGATAAATTTACAATTACAAAATATAAAATATAATTATAAAATTTTCTATAATCAAATTTTTAATAATTATATTTTTTTTTTTGAAAAATTGGAAGGAAAAGGCTTCGGAAAAAAAGAAAAAATTAATTAAATACCTATATAATTATAATATAGATATAAAGTAATTTATCATACATACATCATACAGTATCACAAATAACCCAAGTTTCTCCGTCCATATTACTACTATCATCTTCAAATTCTACAAATTTGTAAATTTGTTAATGGTAAGTCAGAATTTAAAATTTTTTATATAAATGATATATATAATAACAAAAAATATGATTTAATGATTTTTATTACCTTCTTCAAAATAATCGTACAATGTGGTATCAGAAATATTATTATAATAAAGTCTATTATCTTTTTGTACCTTTGGTTTTAATAATGAATTCATGAATCGAACTACATCGTCAAATTTTATGCTAAATGAATGATCGTATAGACGATTCAAAGCAGCTAGATGATCACATCTGTTAGGAAAAAAATAATGATTTTATGAATAATTCATAATAATAAAATAAACAAACGTTCATTGGAAAATTTAAACATATACAAGAAAATCATTCTAATAATTACAATCCAAGATTCGGTGCAGTACAACATAGATATAAATTTTCAAGTGTATGGGATATTTGATGAAATGGAATCTCAATACCTTGAGTATGACATAGAAATGCTATGTTATAATTTAGCATTGACATTCCTATAATAAATTTTTCCATGTGTCTACGATCTGCTAAATACAATGGTTTTCTTTTACTATTGTAATATTTACTATTAATTAATAATTTATAAAGAAAAAAATTTAAATATTAATATTTTGAAATCTAAAATTGATTTAAATTAATATTGTGATTTCTTTTTTTTTTACCTTTCATCTTCTAGTGGTAAGCTACCTTTTGCATAAGATTCAGATCCTTTGTTGTATATCGTGAATGGTAATTGTACGCCTAAATAACCTGTTACCAATCCTAGCATATGTATGACATATCCTATCGCTGTATTTATTTCTTCAAGTGGATACACTAACGAACGAATATGAGAAAAAAAAATATCTTAAATTATTGATTGTATAATTTACAGGAAATATTCAGTAAAATAATATTATTTTTATTACATCTACTTATGAAATCAGCTTTTTTTAGTAGAATCAAACCACCAATTGTATATTCAAAATCTTCTTCATTAGTAGAAAATTTTCCTTTTTCTGTTACAACATCATTATTCTCTCTGACCGCATTATGTTGAGCTTGTGCATCCCGAATCTTTTTTAATTCAAACAATGATATAACCTCATTAATTAAAACTTTTCTTGATTCTGCTAATAATTTATGGACAACATGCCATCTTTCTTTTGTTGTTTCAAATTCTTTTGCAATGAATGTTTTTTGCCGTGACAAATGTGCGTGTGACTCTTGTAGTGTTTGACGTCTAGTTTGAAGTTTACGTTTTAAATTTTCTATTTCTTGTCGATCTTCATAAATATTATTCATTAGTTTCGATTTATCTTTTTTTAATTGACCATCATTCAAATAAATACCTTTTTTAATCTCTTCTCGTTTTTTATTTATCTCATCTTCAATACTATTCAATTTTTGTAATCTAACATGTTTTTCTGCAAGGATTAGTTGGATGTTTCTTATAGAAGCAGTGAGAAATTTATTTGCTCTGGATATATTTCGTTCTTTCTCTATATTGATCTGTTCTAATTGTGTATGATAACATTGTAATCTAAGATGGAGGAAAGTCCATGTTTTAGAAATACGTGAGCTTAAATTATAAAAATGTCACTTTTTTTAAAAAAATAAAATAAATACAATACAATTCTTGAAGACAATTTTTACAGCAAAATTTTCTATGTAAATTATGACATATTTGACACTCCATTTTTCTTATTGAACTTTAAGATTATAAAGAAAATGAATGACCAATTTTTCTCACGTGATACTAATATTTAATGTTGTGTACGATTGAAATCACGTGATAATTGTAGACTAATATGTAATGATTCCCTTGAATCAGATTTGCAATTTATATTCAAAATAAAAAAAGTATTTCACAAATAAAGTTTATTTTGATTTTATCAGCTTATCATTATATGATTGATTTTACATAGTCGATCACATATATAATAATAACAATTTTTCGCCGATCTTTTTTTCAATAGTAAACTTTGAATGATTATAACTCTTTAAAGAATAGAGATACTGACTCCGAGTTAAGT